TGAACACACACTCATGATTTTATAGTAGAGCTTAACTTTGGGTTTAGAGCTTTGGCTTCTAAGGTTTTATGCCCTCACGCTCTCTCACTCTCTGCTGTTTACATAGTTGTGATGCTTTATCTGTGTTATTTTGAGGTAGTCCAACATAATCCCTTGTCTTTTTGCAAAGTGAAACTACAGAAAATTGATTTTTATGGAGAATTTGTTTATATGTTGGTGTCCCAAAGTGTATTGTATATACTTGAATATAAGCCGAGTTTTCCAGCGCAGTTTTTGTGGTAAAATTGGGTGTCTCAGCTGATATTTGAGTCGGGTTATACTCGCGTATATACAGTAATACATTTTAATCTTTAGGAGTATATAAAATATACTCCTATATATAAAATATAAAGTATATAAAATATAAATGATTATTTCTTGATATACGGTTATTTTTACTAGGCTAAAATGCCCTTTTTCTCCTTGTTGTATTAAAATTGCTACCTCAGCTTTCTCTATGGTTTATATTTGTCTCATTATATTTTCTTCTATCCCTATTGGAAACCTTTCTGGATACTTTGGGTATATGTCTCCTATAAAAGTTACTTTGTTGTATTTTTTCCCCTAAATCTGAAATCTTTAGCACATTTAAATGTAGATAATTATCATTGTGAAAAACCTTTTCACCACCTTTACCCCTAGCAATTTTTCCTGCTTTCTTTTATTCATCTTTTTTATTTTACTTAAACAGAATGTTCTAATGGTTTTATATTATAAACTTAAAAATATAAATTGTGACATAAAATTCTTACATACCAACCCTCCCATTGAAAGCATAACAAAATATATTTATTAGCCCTTTAACCAAGCAAAATACCCTAAATGGTTTTTTAAGTAAATTGTCACCGCTGTGATGTCTTCCTCACCCACTCCCCCGGCCTTTTTTTTTTGGTTTGCATCATTCAGACTCGCCGTATCCAGCCTCAGGCCAGGTCAGTTTCTGATGGTTTAGTCCCTAATGCTATGGATGACCTCTAACTTTACATTTTAGTCACCAGTTACTTAGACTGCTGTACTTTACTAATTTTAGAACACCCTCTACTTGCTTTATATTGTTGCTTCCTGAATTAACTTCTCATCTGGTTGTTTCATAGTCCTCAGGGTTTCCTTCAGGTAATGTCTGCATGGTGAAGTTTCTGAGACTCGGCTTGGAAATTTAAGAATCAGCACAGAGAGCTGAGACCATTATGCCTTCCCATTGTTGAGTCAGGTTTTGGGCGATTAAGCTCAAGTTTGGCAGTTCAAATCTGACATTCCATGAGAGCAGGATGAGACTGTCTGCTCCTCTAAAGAATTACAGTCTGGGAAACGCAATATAAATTTGCTGAGTCAGAATTGACAGAATGGCGGTGAATGTATGTCTTTTGGTGTACTCCTTTAAAAGAAAGCAAAGCAGAACAGCTTCTTTCTCACCAACATTTTGGGTGTGTATAGATGTGTGAGCGCTCCTGTGCGTGCACATACAGACTACAATCCCCCGCCCCGCCCTAGTAGTTTTTCAATTACTTATCTTTTGATTAGCATCTAAGTGCTCAGTGGTTGTGCCACCAGGATCTAGAAGAGGCAGTGGCAAACCCAAGTATAGTGGGGAAGTGTAGAATATTAAGAAAGGACTTGGTATGATCACATTTACATTTTAGGAAATTTCATAGTCCTTGGAGAATTCCTTGACAATGGGACAGGGTAGCAAACTTTGAGATCCATTTAAGGGCTATTGTAGTAAGATAGCTGAAGAAAGATGATGCCTGGAGATTGTACGCAGGGCAGAGAGACCATGACTGTCCTCCTCTGACTTCACAAGAGGGAAGGATAATCCGATTACACTTTAGCCCAAGGTGATTCATATGAGGCAGAAGTCAGAAATGTCTTTTCCGACAACAACCGTAATCTCTCAAAGCACTTTTTGCTTCTCTGGTTTGAAAATTCTTTGCAGTAACCACACAGAACTCACAGACAATACACAGACAATGGGATTTATTTAGTACATTAACAAGTTATAATTCAGAGTCAGAAATGTGAAGGATACAATTCTTTGAATCATGATACCTCTTCTCAGTCATGCTATGCAACCTCGTGGCCTCTGCCCTGCACAGGCAGTGTTAGACAGTTCTCTTGATGCTACTGATAAATGCCCAAAGGCCACACACTGTTCCATAACCTTCAGCTTAAAGATGTTTGATTTTAGCTTTGTGAATCAGCAAATCCAACCCCACTAATTAAGTGCATAGAAACACCCTACTTTGTAAGTGAGCTCCTGCCCAACAGCGCTTTCTCACTTTTGGAGCTGGGAAGTGCGTTACTCTGTCGCGTGCTTTTGGTGCTTCTGCCTTGGCTGATACTGCTTGGCCACATCTCTGGATCCCATGGAGACACTCCACTCGGGATTCTTCTTTCCTGACAGAAGTGAGGTCGCCTGTTCTTGCTCTGAGCTGGCTCTTTTCCCATCTATTTATTTGCATGGTCCCACCCAAGCCTTTGGTTGCAATGACAAAGTCTGTGTCTAGAAGTACCATATTAACAATTCATTACACCACAGAGATCGAAGTGATAAATAAGGATGTTGGTTAACCAAGATCCTTCAATGGACTGCATTGTGTTATATTTGGTAATAAGGGGAAAAAAGTTCATTTTTCCTTTTGGCATTCCATTTAAAAATATTCTTTAATATAAAGAATGAGTTGGAATCATAGCAAAGCAGTGTTAGGTACCATCAAGTCAGTTCTGACCCACTAGTTTATTATTATTTTTAAGCAACAGTTTCTTATCATTTCTAAAATGCAAAAAAAATCCAGAAAATTGGGAGGTATTCTTGAAGTATGTGGTAAATTCAGCTGGTGGGGAAAACTATCCTGAGGTGAAACGAAGCTATTTATAGTCTTTGTTTATTACAACTGGTGTGAACATTCACATTTTCTTTCAGAATTATGACTGGGTATAATGATTAGATATGGCTATACCTTCTGAAAGTGTTATTGCAGCATAGAAGGACACTTCCATTCCTTTAATCTCTCAATTGAATTTTTCCATACACTGAAGTCCCCTCATTTGGTATTGTTTATCTTACTATCTTATAAAATCTGAAAGATTCTGATGATCTATTTCTATCCCAATTGGTTTCAGATAATAAATTGTGGACTTGTACTTTGAATCTGAGCATTTTTGTCCTTTTTATTGCAATATTCTTTTCTGATAAAACCCATTATGTGACAATGAAGGTATGGGAAAAAATGAAATTATTATGATACAAACTCCAAAATATATAAAGTGAAAGAAAGTACAACACAGTGCCCTGTTTGTGTTGAAATATATATATACAGAAAGGAGGAAAGAAACACAAACACTGCATAAAAAATCTTTAAAAAGAAAAACAAAAAACGTATCAAATTGAGATCCGTGATGGGAATTCTGTGTGCACATTTATATTTGTAGTATTCACTTATTTTATTGTAGCGTAGTGGGTTATGCATTAAGCTTCTATTCCAAAGTCAGCAGTTTAAAAACACTAACTGTTTGTGGGAGAAAGATGAGGCTTTCTACCCCTGTAAAGATTTATAATCTCAGGGACCCACAGGGGCAGTTCTGCCCTGTCTTATAGGAACAGTATGATTTGGAATCGACCCGATGGCAGTGAGTTAAGTTGGTTGTTGATATTATTTTTTGTTTAAATTTTAAATTGCATAGCTAAATATAGGAATGTTTTCTTTTCATTAAAAACAAAGATGCATTTCATTTTCAGCTCTATTAAATGTAGTAATTTTGTTAATATAAAGAATAAAATAATCATTCATATTAGCCTTCTATTACACTTTGTTGTAATTTATCCCTGTCATTTATGTTTAGGAATACACCCAGAGAATGAGTTATATAAACCCTGGAATATCTAAACATTGGATATGAATGTACTAGAAGCAGGAAATAGATATAAATGGCTACAGAGGAGTTCTAATCAGAGGAGGTGGGAATTTGAAGCCATGAGTATAGTGTCTGAACAGAGAGGAATGTTTGGAAACGTTTTCAAGACAAAATAGTTAAGACGGGGGAGCAAACAGAAGTATATTTTAGACAAAGGACATACAGGAGACAAATAGAAAGAGAAAAGAATCAAACGTGGGCCTCTTTGGTGAAAGAAAAAGGACGAGGGAGGAGATTAAATTGTATGAATACAGCAATGTTGTTGGTAGTTGAAAGATGTCGTAATAGTTTTCTAATGTGATAATATTACAATTTCTTGTTAAGATAAGGGTTGATATTTATGATAAAAGTAAAATACTGTTTGACCCAACAGAGTGAGAAAAGTGAACAATTTACTACTAATGAATTAGTATAGACTGAAAGTAGGCAAAAAGTCCAGGTGTTTGCTGCCTTTCACTAAATGTATATTTAAATTGTCTTAAATACATATATATATATATATATGTTTTTTTTTTACTTGCGTGAATATATGTAGCTTGGTTGTAGCAACAGTGCCATTCACAGTGAAAATTAATAAATACTTAAAAATATGATATTTGATTTTTATATTTTCTTTGATACTACTTTGTTTTTAAATATTAAAACAATCATAACCCCCAATTTGTAGTGTGCATTAATTTAAAAAATTAATGTGAGGGAAGAAGTTTTTACTTTGATATTTTATGTACTCACGAGCATTTTGTATAAAAGCTAATGTGAATTAATATTGTACAACTAGTAGAATATTATATTTGAATCTTTTTGTCCTTCATTGACTCAAGCATCTACAAAATTCTTTTTGTTAGTGGAATACCTATTTTAGTGTTACATCTTTTAGATATAAACTTTTTCTATTTTGTGAATTATTTTGCTTTTAAAACAGCCTTATTATGAACATTATTAAAGATACATGAAAAAATTATAATGGATTATAAATCATTTTTGAAGTAAGCATAAATTATAGCAGACGGGTTTATCAACCATTTAGAACTTTTATTCTTCTATTTTAGGGAATCTGGAAGCATCAAAGCTGGATTAGAACATCTGGTAAGTTCTAATTTTCTCTTGAACATTTGCAACATCTTTGATATCTGCATTCTAAAAGAACACTTTTGAATGAGCTTTGAATACCTTGTATTGAGAAAGTCAACCATTTCCCAAAGGGTCAGCTTACTGTTATTATGTGAAAGCTCTTACATTTTCATTTATCTTACCATTTCAAGGGAATTTTAAATTTTTTTAAATTAGTTTTTTTTTTATGTAGAGATGAAATAAAATGGATAACAATCCTTGGATTGATGATTGCTTTAATTATAAACAAAAATTGTTTGGTGTAGAATTTTTGGCATATCTTGATCTGACATAAACAAGCTTGTGTGTTAAAAACACAATTAAATATTGCATGCATAAATACGGAATGCTTTAGCAATTTAACAGCTTTGAACGAAGTACTGCACAGCTTTGTTTTTCCCGATGTCTGTGCTTTATGAATAATACATTGATTTAAATTCCATTCAGTTTTAGAATATAAAATAATTGAGTTGCAAAATTTTGGGCTTAAGTAAACATTTTTAAAGTACAAGTGAAATAAATCCACACTGATTTAACATGAAAATGTGTCCATTGATTAAAAAATTGGAAAAACTGTTGTACTGTAACAGGTCCGAAATTCATTGAGCTCACTACATTGAGTGTTCCTTATAACATTAAGTAGTTCATTTACACAGAGCATAATAAAGTCATGCTCCGGTCCAATCCAAATGTTGAATAATTAATCATAGAGATTCTTTTGTAAATACAGTCTAAGTACTTTTTAAATGCAAGGCTTCTTTCGTATATCATACAGAAGCTTTGTTAACTATTAATCTGCTTTGGGTCTGCTTCCACCAAAACAAACAATACCAAGAGACTGCTTCATTTTCACTTGTGGTTGTTTTAAAGTTGGAAGAGTTTTTAGGTTTTCCTTTCAATAGAGAATGAAAACTGAAGAAACCAGACATTAAAAATGACCCTAAAATGACATGCTATTTGTTAAAAAGCTAGTATCCTAGCTAGAAAATTTGAGCTACATATTTGTCAAGATTAGGAGTAAATGATATTATTATCTTCATAAAAATATTTTCTGAACCTCTTATCAGTTCATAAAGGTTTATTCACACATCTTTATAATACATGCACATTATATTATAAAGAACATAACCCTTGTATAAATTGGTGGCGTCTAAGAAGGAAGAGTAGCATAATGTCAAATGATTTATATTTATACTTCTGTTGTAATTTGCCAGGGGATTTCAGAAGTTTGTGGAAAAATTCCACTGTCTTTTATTTTATTTTCCCATGAACTTTTTTATGTTCCTCATACTAGTTATTAAAAAGCCATTATATTTCTATTGTTTATGTTCCTCAGTAAATAATGGGTTTGTTTCTTTAGTATAAATTTCTTCTTTTTTAGTGATTACTTTTACCATTTATACTGTATTTATAATGTTAGGTAGGAGCCCTTGGTAGTGCAATAATTAAGGCACTCCACTCACCAGTTGCTCTCTGGGGAACTCTCCAGCCACGCCATGGGACACTAATGTAGCAATCTACTTCCATAAAGATGTGCAGCATCTTATTATAATGGGTGATTCTACTCTGTTGTTATGAGTCAAAACAAACTCGATGGTAGTAGTTTGGGATTGATTTGAGTTCATAATTGTATACAGCAGCAGTTTTCTAACTGATCCTTGAGCTACCAAGGAGGTTGCCCAGAATAGATTTGCACCCAGATTTCTTTTTTTTTTTTAATACTTTTATTGGGAGCTCTTACATCTCTCATCACAATCAATTCATTTCTCCAGTGTGTCAAGCACATTTGCGCATATGCCGCCATCATCATTTTCAAAGCATTCTCTTCCCACTTGAGCCACCCCCCATATCCGTTCTCCATTTCTTCCCCGTCCCTCCCTCTCCCACCCTCCCTCATGATCCCTTGATAAGTTATAGATTATTTTTTCCATATCTTATATCATCCTCCGTCGCTCCTTGCCCACTTTTCCATTCTAGATTGATCCTTGTGATTGGTTCCCCTTTCTTCCCCCACCCTCCCCTAATCCTCTTGGTATCTCTACCCTCCTTGTTGGCCCTGAGGGGTTTATCTATCCTGGATTCCCTGTGGTGCACGCTCTTATCTGTAGCAGTGTGCATGTTCTGGGCTAATCCAATTTGTCAGGTAGAATTGAGGTCATGATTGTAGGGTGAAGGAAGCACCAAAGAACTAGAAGAAAGTTGTGTGTTTTATTGGTGCTATGCTGCACCCTGACTGGCTCTTCTCTCCCGATGACTTTTCTGTAAGGGGATGTCCAATTGCATACAGATGGGCTTTGGGTTTCCATTGATACGATTTTTTGTTCTGGGTCTTTGATGCCTGATGCCTGATCCCATCGCCACCTCATGATCACACAGGCTGGTGTGCTTCTTCCATGTGGACTTTATTGCTTCTGAACTAGATGGCTGCTTGTTTATCTTAAAGCCTTTTAAGACGCACATCAGCTTTCTTCACCACATTTGATTATGCACCCATTTGTCTTCAGCAATAGTGTCGGGAAGGTGATCATCACAGAATGCCAGATTGTTAAAACAAAGTGTTCTTGTGTTAAGGGAGTACTTCAGTAGAGGCCCAATGTCCATCTGCAACCTTAATTCTTAACATATAAATATGAGTACATAGTTCTATTTCCCTCTCATTATATATATATTTACATATGTACATGCCTATATTCAGGCCTTTATAAGTGTCCTTTGCCCCCTGGTTCTATCCTGTATTCCTTTTTACTTCCCTCTTGTCCCATCATCATGTTCGGCCTTCGTTCGTATTTAGTAATTCCTCGCTGGTACATTGCCCTTGATTGAGGCATCCTATGACCTTCCTTCCATTGATTTTAGTTCACTTGTTGTTCCCTTGTCTCTGGTTTGGTCCCCCCTTCCCTTCCTTTCTCCCACCTCCCCTTTTCCCATAATCCCCTGGAACCATTGGTCCCATTCTTCTCATCTCCAAATTATTTATCCTGCCTATCTTATCTAGATAGACATGCAGATACATTAATAAGTGCAAAAACCAGGCAAAGCCAAATAAAACAACAAAGGAAGTCAAAAGCAACAAAACAATAGCAACAGCAGCAAAAAACAAACACAAATAACAATAATGAAAAGAAAGCCACTGACAAAAATGGAAAAGCCTATAAATAGTTCAAGTTCTGTTTGTTGGCCTTACAAGTGTTTTCCAGTCGAGTCTGATGGGGATGCTATACTCTTGTCTCCCAAGTCTATTTTTTGGTATTCCCCAGGGGTTTCATCACTCTGTTCCCCCTCTGCTCTGCTGCGTGATGGGGCCAGGCCGTGCACTATTCCCGCACTGTGTCTGCAGTGCTGTCCTCCGCAGCGTCATGGTTCAGTGAGGGACACCGTGTCCCTTGGTGGGGCCAGCCCTGCGGTCCTCCCTGTGCGTTGTCTACTCTGAGCAGGAACACCATCCTTAGGGCTTGGGGACCAGGATTTCCGCTCCTCCCTCTCCATCCCTTTTGCTTTTCTCCCCTGTGCTCTAATCCTATGCGCCCCTCTCCCCAAACTGTAGCCCAGTGCTGTCCTCTGAAGTGCATTCTTCTGAGGTGAGTGTGGGTGTGGGGGATGGAGGTTTCCACATAGTTGGGATTGGGGCCAGGCCTCCAGTTTGTTTTTTTAATTTTTAAAAAAATTTTAATCATTTTATTGGGGGCTCATACAACTCTTATCATAATCCATACCATACATCAATTGTATAAAGCACATTTGTACATTCGTTGCCTTCATCATTCTCAAAACATTTGCTCACCACGTAAGCCTCTGGCATCAGCTCCTCATTTTCCCCTCTCCCTCCCCGCTCCCCCCTCCCACATGAACCCTTGATAATTTATAAATTATTATTTTGTCATGTCTTACACTGTCCAACATCTCCCTTCACCCACTTTTCTGTCCCCCAGGGAGGAGGTCACATGTAGATCCTTGTAATTGGTTCCCCCTCTCTACCCCACCCTCCTTTCACCCTCCCAGTATCGCCACTCTCACCACTGGTCCTGAAGGGATCATTTGTCCTGGATTCCCTGTGTTTCCATTTCCTATCTGAACCAGTATACATCCTCTGGTCTAGCCAAATTTGTAAGGTAGAATTGGGATCATGATAGTTTTGGGGGGGCTGGGAGGGGGAAGCATTTAGGAACTAGAGGAAAATTGTATGTTTCATCGTTGCTACACTGCACCCTGACTGGCTCGTCTCCTCCCCATGACCCTTCTATAAGGGGATGTCCAGTTGCCTAAAAATGGGCTTTGGGTCCCCGCTCCACACTCCCCTTCATTCACAATGATAGGATTTTTTTATTTTGATGATGCCTGATCCCTGATCGCTTCGACACCTCGTGAACACACTGGCTGGTGTGCTTCTTCCATGTGGGCTTTGTTGCTTCTGAGCTAGATGGCCGCTTGCTTACCTTCAGGCCTTTAAGACCCCAGACGCTATATCTTTTGATAGCTGGGCACCATCATCTTTCTTCACCACATTTGCTTATGTACCCATTTGCCTTCAGTGACCATATCTGGGAGGTGAGCACACAATAATATAATTTTTTTTGTTCTTTGATGCCTGATAACTGATCCCTTTGGCACCTCGTAATCACACAGGCTGATGTGCTTCTTCCAGGTGGGCTTTGTTGCTTCTGAGCTAGATGGCCGCTTGTTTACTTTCAGGTCTTTAAGACCCTAGACGTTATATCTTTTGATAGCTGGGCTCCATCATCTTTCTTCACCACATTTGCTTGTGCACCCCCTTTGTCTTCAGCGATCATGTCGGGAAGGTGAGCATCATGGAATGCCAGGGTAATAAAACAGAGTGTTCTTGCATTGAGGGAGTACTGGATTGGAGGGCCTCCAGATTTCTGATGTCCATTTTAACTATAGTAGTTCCTACTTTTGTATTGTAAAGTAAACTTTTAAACTTTCTTAGAAGATTTCATCTGAAGAAAGATTTTTGTACC